GTGAGTATTTCCAAAGTAACTTTTGAACTGTTTTTTTTATTGGAAGGTGTCATACGAATCACTCAGAACTTTTTTCATAGTCCTAAAAAGCTGCAGAAATGTTAACGTGAGGTTTTTGACTGATTGAAAGTTTCAAAATGTGATCAATTTTAGTAGCCATTATTCTCCTGGGTAATTCCTCAATAGGCAGGTACAACAACAGGATAATAGCACCCATTGTAAATAAGATCCTTACCACCCGTTAATAAGGTCCGACAGCACTTGCATCGGTATCAATTGCAAGAGCTGCAGTAACATACAGACAAGAATCGCCAGCAAAGAAACATTTTCGGAGAAAACGGTAGGAAATAATTTTGTTTGAAAACTCAGTTTAGAGTACTTCATTTACAGATAGAGCTATGTCAGAATGGTATGGTTACGCAAAAGTATTTTCTGGTAAAGAAAAAAAAAAGGAAAATGAAAATAGTCAGTGTCTCGATGAAACCCAGAAATTATGTTAAAAAACTGGACGAGTTTATTTCTGGCAACAAGAGGCTTAATTACTGTGGTAAGAGAGTAAATTATGATGGAGGATGTTGTGGATTAGCCAAGAGAGAAACGTGAACTAAAGAAAGATGAGAAATTCTTTCACAAGTACTGGAAAGCTACTACAAAGACTCAAATCCCGGCATAATTGTGACCCTCGGAGTTCAAGGAATAAGGTGAACGCACGTACACGGTACGCTCGCACGCTAAAACAAAAAGAGCTCGTTAATTAAAACTTAGGTGCGTGTTAGTTACTTGCCTCATTAACTTTCGAATTCAGCCATTCTCTTGTTTTCGCACTTTACAAACAAAGGCGCGTGTAAACCAAGATATTGCTCGACGATTTACACGATACAAAACAATGACCGTGCCAATTTTGGAACACGCCTTTTAAAGTCACAGTTGCTTTCGATTCGTACACGGAGCCGGAAATCTGTTACTAAAGGATTCACAAAGATTCGATACTGGGCTTATTAACTGCGTGAAGCAATACAGGATTTATATTTTACAAGGTAGGAATTAATTTAAAAAAATAATTCATGTGTTTAAAGCGAGCTCTTCCGGACCCTGTGAAACATGAAGTACTCACTGAATTCCTTGTGAAAATCCTGGGGGAAAGAGCCGTGATTTGCCGTGGATGTTTCCTTTTTTTATTACAACTTTCGGATAGGACAGAAGATCTTCCGCATTTCCGCTTATAGTCTGTAAGTAATATACTTTAAAACACTATTCTCACAATTACTGCCATTATCGTGCGAGCGTTTTATAACGTGTCGTGTGCCTGCGTTCACCTTATTCCCTGAAACCCAGTGGAGGGTTACATAATATAAATCAGAACTCATTAATTGATAAACTAAGCATTGTATTCCTCCCCACGAAGCGACCACGAAACGATTAGTTTTCAAACTTTGGCACGGTGGTTTTCGCTACCTTTATATATCCCAGTTACATGCACTGATAACTTGAAAATTCTTTAATAATGAGTTCAAAAAGCAATATCACGATGTCCCCACTTTGCAGCTTGAAAAGTTTAGTAACTCCGGCTGGTATAATTGAGTGAGTGCCAGAAATAAACGAATTTTTGCCGGAAGGATCGTCAAAGTTTTCAAAAACAAGTAGGAGACAACAAGGAATCCGAGTCTTGAATAATTGACTAGTATGAACAATTCTTAAACAAAACAAAGCTTATGGACCTGACTAAAATATAAAATTATGTCATGCAGGACCGCAATTAATTTTGTAGTCCGCAAAAATGAAACAAAGTATTTCGGCATCTTTTCAAGTTCTATGCCTTGCTTTATACTGGAAACTGCAACTCGAAAATCCATCCCGAAATCCGACTCAAAATCCTAACTCGAAGGAGTGTTTGCTCAAAAGTAGAATTCGAGTCCGTATCAGTCGCCAACAATCGGTTTTCGATCGCTGTTCAAGCGACTGCTCGATAACGGAGAAACTCCAAATCCTAACTCGTTAGCAGCTCCTAACTAACTATTCTAACTAATACAGCTCTAACCAGCCTTTCTCCATTATTCATTTCATATTGCATTTCCTGACCACAATGCAAATCAAGCTAATGGTTAAAAACCGCAAATATCGAATGACTAAATACGTTTTGGCATCGAACAAACATCTCTTTTCTCAAATTTGAGGTCCAGTTTGATAAATACGTATGACTTTTCTGTGCTTGTAATCCTTAAAAAATAAACAAATGAAAATAAAGTCAAATTACAAACATAGAAGCATGCATGTTGATCGTGAACTCACGAAAAACCAGTCTACGGATTAAAAAGAAGTTTAGGGTAAGTTTTAGCCCAGAAGATTGTTTGCCTTTTTCTTTTCAGGGAACGTTTTTTCCCACATCATGCGTCGAGAGGAAATGGCCAAAAAGGTCTTGTACGCAGTAGGGCTGTTGATCAAAACCGTGCTGTTATGCTGTACAGCTGCACAGCAATGGGAGGCTACGGGCCAGCCGGAAGTTTCCAAATTTGGGATGATGCTACAACGCCACATCTTCAAGAGGATCACGGGGGCTGGTCTTTCAGATGTGTGCTTGCGGGGATGCTATGCTGACGTCAGATGTCAAAGTTTCAACTACGTCTTTACGCAAGACATTTGTGAGCTGAGCAACCGAACTAAGGAGGCCAGACCAGAGGATTATGTTCCGAACCCTGAGAGATTTTACTTTAAGCGAGATTACAAACGAGGTTTGTAAATTTTTTTACTGTCTTCTTCCCTTTAAAGACATTTTCAGAGCGCAGAATTTCAACCCAAAATTAATAAATTGTGTCACATCACTTCCCTTTATTGCCTTAAGTCAAGTCGCCCTCAAATTGAGTGTCCTCGCCCCCAAGACGAACATCAAATCTTGCTTACTTGGAATACTATGCCACTATGATTGCTATTTCTTCCAGTCCCTCTCGGTTCCATTCCTGAGCTGCCTGCGGAGACTTGCCAGGAAATCAAAATGAGCGAAGGAGGACAAGCGGTCAGCGGCAAATACTGGTTTCACTCGATTGTACCCGAGAGGACTGTTCTGGCTCCTTGTGACATGAAAACCGAAGGTGAATTCAAGTGTTTATCAATTCACATCTTCTACAGACAAAAGTCGGTTAACCACGAGCAAAAACGTTGACAGAGATGTTATGGGTAGACTGCAACCACCTGACCCCCCTCCCCCCATCCCAATATTCATAGAGGGAAATGAGAAAATAAAGCAAAACAAAACAAAATAAAAATAATAAGATATCTGACGGAAACAAAGCTATGAAGGAATGCTATAATCTCTCTTAAACTGATCAATTTGAGAACAAGTCAAATAGAATGAAAAAATTTCTTTTTTGACACAGAGATAATCATTCAATAGCAAATTGCTATCACAACTTTATAGTGACGAAATTTAACGAATAGGGAAGGGGAAATTTTGCTTCCTGATGGGGTCGTACAAAGCAAAATTTTGGCTCCCGCCGGAAGCAATTGGCGAATACCCTCCTTTTTGCTTTTAAACTAACCGCAGACTATTCCGTTTTTTCAGACGTGGACGAGTGTAATTCGACCATTCCCGTGTGTGACGTCAACGCTGAGTGCGTGAACACCATCGGTTCTCACAGTTGCTCGTGCAAAGCTGGTTTTACTGGAAACGGAAAAAAGTGTGTCGGTAAGTTAGTGAAATGACTTTTACTATTGCCTGAAGCAAGTCATTTTAAAACAAAGCAAAACCAAAACAATCCCGGCTTAATCTGGACACTCGATTAAAACAAATTGCTTAAATAACCGATTGGAATTATTTCCCACACCATGTCACGTTCAATTGCTTATACGGCGAGACGCTTTCGCTAATAACAGTCATTTTCGATCTACTATTGCTCTTGAGCTCAAGCCATTTAGTTTTTTATACATTCTCTCAGATGTCGACGAATGTGCCAATAAATCGCATGACTGTGACGCCAATGCCTCTTGCAACAATACCGCTGGTTCCTATCGATGCACCTGCAATTCCTGGTACCAAGGAAACGGAACAAGCTGCTATTTTCGTGAGTTTAACTAATATTGAGATACAAGTGACCTCAGTTTGTTATGATACTCGCATTTCGCATTCTCTGTCTTTCTGTATCGTCATATGAAGCTTACAATTTTGGAAATATATTTTTTTAACATGAGTCGGTCCTGAATCGAGACCAAGATGGAATTCGTCCCAAAAACGGGCTACATTATGACCCTTTACTCCTTAGCATCAGTACAGATATTCTCCTCGCTGTTCTCTATGCATACCGTGTGGTGCTGCCAAGGGAATTTGTTTGAAAATCAACAGCTTTATAACTTGATGATTATTTCATTTATTCCCATGATTCTGATGTTTGGTTCGGCGGTAATACGGTGAGGAGAAGTTAAATGCCAAACCCTCTTAGGGGTTAAAGGGTTGAAGAATACGTCTCACTTGGCGCCTAACTTACCACCCCCCCCCCCTTAAAAAAGAAACAGTTTCATTGATCTTTACAGTTTGTTGCTTACAACTATGTCGAACTTTCTATCTTGATCAGCCGAATCACTCAGAACTTTTTCCATAGTCAAAAAAAGCTGCAGAAATGTTAACGTGAGTTTTTTTGACTAATTGAAAGTTTCAAAATGCGATTAATTTTAGTAGCCATTATTCTCTTTGGTAATTCCTCAATAGGCAGGTACAACAACAGGATAATAGTACCCAATGTAAATAAGATCCTTACCACCTGTTAATAGGGTCGAACAGCACTTGCTTCGGTACCAGCTGCTTTTTCGTGAGTTTAACTAACATTGAGGCACGAGCGACCTCAGTTTGTTTTGATACTTGCATTTCGCATTCTCTATCTTTCCTTATCGTTATGTGAAGCTTATAATCCTTTGGAAATTAGCTCTCGAATATATATACTTTTTTAACAAGAGTCGGTCCTGATACGGGACCAAGATGGAATTCGTCCTTTATTCTCATGATTCTGTTGATCATGATTTTGTTCGGCTGTAATAGGGTAAGGAGGAAATAAAAGCCAATCCCTCTTAGGGGTTAAAGGGTTGAATTGAAGAATACATCTCGCTTAGCGCCTTACTTACCCTCCCCCCCGCTTAAAAAATAACAGAATCATTGATCTTTGAAGTCTGCTTCTCACAACTATGTCGAACTTTCTGACTTGATCAACCTTAATTATTTTTTTTTTCATTATTATCATGTTTTTATCTCGTGGTTTCCTTTAATTCTAAGAAAGCATTGATTGGTGCAAACAACGAGGCGAGATATAATAACGTGTACTGGGTTTAGAAATCTGAAATGTCACACAAACACGCTTTCATTGTGTTAACACGTCTGAAAGGGAGACAACGTTTCCATAAGTGTTCCTCTAGTTCACACGGGGTTGGAAATAGAAGTTGTGCCTCAGATTGATGTGCGTCACACAACGGTTGTCACGCTGTAATTCGTAAAAATGAAAAAGCGAAATGTAGACATTACCACCACCAAGATGACGAATGCAACATAACGTGAAAACGGTAGGCAGGACAATCCTTATCTTTTCTCCCTTTTTCGGTTATTCGTATAGGTGGCCTTAATAGTTCCGTTATTCTTACCAGCCTCGACTACAACAAATACACGGGTAAGCTGCTTTCCTACCTAGAGCCAGTCCTCCTGAGTTCAGAGTGGAGCAGGTTTGTGAAGTGTTGGCACGCTAAGACAGAAGGCTGGGCGGCATCGACATTCCACAGCAACTGTGATGGGAGGGGACCCACAGTAACAATCATCAAAGCGAACGATTCCATATTTGGTGGATATACTGATGTGTCCTGGGGACCAAGCGGTGAGTACGTTTTTGAATAATAAAATTTATATCACTTTTGTATCATACAGTAACATTTGATAAATTTAGGATCTAAATATATTTTCTTTCTAAACTGCACTTAATAAGCGTCCCAAAGCCAAAACCAAGGTCATTAAAACGGACCAGTCAAAACAAAGAACAAGAACAAAAGCTGCGCGAGGCGCGAGAAAAACGCCATATACCAAGTCACACCTGGTATAAGACTGATTGACGTATCTCAGTGCCTATATCAGAAGCCCCTCTTCTCTCCCCCCTTTAGGACCTCTTGGTGCGTGGTAATGTTTCTATACGGCTCCACTATAACCCTACAAGTTGCTCACGCTAATAAGACTCTCATAAGGGTTGGTTAACCGCCATAGCGAGCTTATAGAAGCTTCAAAATTGGCTGCAGCCGTACCCACCTTTATTAACTTACACTTGACCACCCCTTCGTAGATCATCCCATTTCTCTTTTTAAGTTTTGAAAGACCTGAAAGAATTGTGGGATGGTCTAACAACTGATTAGTAGAACTTACAGTGACTATGTTCTTACAACGTCACCTGGTTTATATAGGTTCATGTCGTAACTCCTATGCTCGGAAAGCTTTTCTCTTCTCCCTCAACAACATCAAAGGATACAATCCTGTGAAGCTGACACAATACCGAAAACAGCAATACGCAATGTGCAGTTGTTCCTCTTACGGACCCATTTTTGGTTGGGGACGTGACATCCTCATATATAACGACGCTGTAAACAATCAACGCTCTTATACTAAATGCGGTGGGACGTACAAAAACCCCACGGGTTATTCATCTGGAGACTGTAAATTTTTCACAGGAGCATTTCGTTTTACTCCATCCGACATTGAAGTTTTCTTCGAAATCGGTAATTATTGTACAGAAACACTTAAAACCCTGTCGTAAATATACGATGAATAAATATACATAAACTCTAATCCTTGGCAACGTTCAGGGATTCTAAAAGTGCATGCGCTGATCATATACAGCAGCGAAATACTATTCAGGTTATGGTGGCGGCAGTGCTAAGTGAATTGTATCTCAGTTCAGGGATATCAGTGCTCATCGACTAAATCAGGGAAAAAAATTGATCTAGATGCTATGTTTTGCCATGAAATTGAATCGCTAAGTCGGGCTAAAGCAGACAGTTCAACCCAGCTAAACTGAACTTTTGGTTTTTGCTTTTCGTTTCCCAGTTTTACAACCACTTAAGAAAATGTGTTCTCGTGAAATTTAGTTGATGTGTTTACAAAATAAATGCTCAAGGAAATATTTAAGTTTAAATGGGATCACATGGTTAGCACCTCGCCCTGTGAATAAGAAGATCTGGGGCTCTAATTATTTTGAAATACTTTCACGGTTGTGAAAGACGAATAACATCTTTCTTTATTCTAGAACGTCTGTGATGGAAATTTACATTCAAGTTTCTTTTACGCACATAGGTGGCCTTGGTGCATCTACTATACTTGGAGGCCTGGACCCCAATGAATACTTGGGAAAGATGATTTCATTTTTAGACCCAGTTCTTCCCAGTGCATCCCGTACTGACTTTATTAAGTGTTAGCATGCGAAGACTGACGGCTGGGCAGCATCGACATTCCACAGCAACTGCGATGGGAGGGGACCAACGGTGACAATCATCAAAGTGAACGATTACATATTTGGTGGATATACTGATGTGTCCTGGAGCGGAGGCAGGCATATCAAATTTTTTAAGAGGGGACAAGACAATTTTATAGGATTAACTATCCTTCCTCTCCGTCCTTTAAGGATTTAAGGGGGGGGGGGGGGTGGAGAGGGTGCTGGAGGAAATATTAAACGATGCTCCTTTGGTACTAGCTCTAAGCCTTTATTTTTTCATATTAGTGTTTTGGCCATCAAGATTTCTTCACACCAGTGTCGTCTATAGAAATGTTTTCTATGTGATACACCTGCAGAACAACATTACATCCTAAAACATTTGCTTCAAGTCTCAAAAATATTTACTCGCTTTTCTCCAAAGTAACCCCTAAAATCTTCCATAATTGTTTTTGGTACTCGTTTCTATACCCAAACTAGTAAAATATCTCCCTCCCCTTCACAAATCTCTAGTCTGAGAAAAAACTCTTCGTCTAGCTCATGATGGAAAATGAACTCCCCAAACCCTCTCCTTCCTCAGGGGGTTTATGTTTTCTTTCAGCTTTTTAATGTACGACTACATTGTTCTTCTATTTCAGCTGGTTCTTGCGCAGGTTATTCCTACGCCAGTAAAGCTTTCATCTTCTCTCTCTATAACGTCAAAGGATACAATCCCGTAAAGTTGACACAATACCGAAATCAGCAATATGCAATGTACAGATGTAACACGTATGGACCCACCTTTGGTAGGGGGTGTGATCATGATATCTACATATCCGACGACTCTGGAAACAACCAAAACTCCTACACCAGATGTGGTTGCACGTACACGACACCTTCAGGGTACTCAACTGGTGACTGTGGTTTTTTTACAGGGGGGTCTCATTTCTCTCCAAAGGACGTCGAAGTATTCTATGAAGCAGGTAATCAAGAAAATCACCCCTTTCTAAAGATAAATACTTAGTAGGGCCTGTAGCAAAATCAAATCGTGTATTGTAGAAATATTCTCAGAAAGTTGTGTTGCTTGAGTACGGATAGCTTACTTTTTTGTCATTTCGAAGCTTATTAAGCTTATTTATTATTAAGCTTATTTATTATTAAACTTATTTATTATTAAGCTTATTAAGTCTCTTTCGCAGCATTCATTTAAGCTCGTGACGAGCCTGAGAGGACTTACCTGAGTTGCAGCGGGGGGTTGTGGGTGTTACAAGAAAATGAAGTTGGTGGGGCCACTTGTAAGAACGCTTGAGCTAACAACAAATTTAAGACATGCTTTGATGCTACTCTGGCTTAAAGATTTAACGGATGTAACCGAGAAGTTACAATTCATAGACCCAAAGTTTCGACACTTAATCAAGGATGATGGTGAAGGCACTAGACAGGAGTGTCGAACGTTGGGTCTATGAATTGTAACTTCTCGGTTGCATTAATTAAATCTTTAAACCAGAGTAGCATCAAACCATGTCTGATTGTCCACCTGGTTGCTTTGTGAACTTTAAAACAAATTTCATTCTCTCTGCCGCATAAAATACCGCCTGGTAGACGGTCTGGGAATTTTCTAACTTGCCGGATCGGTAATGTAAGATTGTCTAGCGAGTCAAACGAGGGGTGATGAAATTATCACTTTAGATTCAAAGGCATCACAGCCAATCAAAGCTCTTGTTCCATTTACTTGGCCAACTGTAATTTTTTCCTCTTCTTTTCTCACTTTAGGCCTTGGTTTGTCCGCCATACTTCGAAGTCTTGATAACAACCAGTACTTGAAGGTGCTGTTTTCGTATTTGGACCCAGTCCTTATCAATAAAGAACGTAGCAGGTTTGTGAGGTGTTGGCACGCAGAGACTGACGGTTGGGCAGCATCGACATTCCACAGTAACTGCGATGGGAGGGGACCCACAGTGACTATCATTAAAGTTAACAGTTATATCTTTGGTGGATACACTGACGTGTCCTGGACCAGCAGTGAGTAAAAAACAAGCAAACATCTCTCACTTGTAGAGCAGATAACAAGTCGATTAGTTGTGGAATTTTCTTGTAGCAGTGAGTTCATCTTAGAAACAGAAAGTATCACATTAACAACTGAGATACCAAAGTAGATCAACTCGTAAATAGCCTGAAAACGCGTTTGAAACGGGTTTTAACTTAAAGTCTTGTTTCGGATTTGATTTTTGATTTGATTTTGATTTTGATTTTGATTTTGATTTTGATTTGATTTGATTCTGACAGCCCCATTTCGTCCCATTTCCCCGTGTTTCGTTGTATCCATTACTCATATTGGAGAGCTGAAACGAAGGATGTTTAATTAATGCTCACTTTAGATCCTATGTTGCCTTTGAATAGCACATCGGACCTTATTTGAAGTGCTTTTGTTGAAAAGTGAAAATATGCTCTCGAGTTCTCTGAAATTTTTTTCTAACAAATTAAAGTGTTCGGTTCTAGTTTGGCAGGTAAAAATAATCACTTTTTATGGTTATCATCATGAATTTTTTTCTCATTCGCATAGTTTCTAATGCTGCTAAATCTTTTCATTTTAGGTCCTTGTGTTTATTCTTCAGCCAGCAAAGCTTTTGTTTTTTCTCTTTACAACGTCAGAGGATACGATCCTGTGAAGCTGACACAATACCAAAACCAGAAATACGCAGTGTACAGATGTTCCTCTTACGGACCCACTTTTGGTCGGGGACATGATATCTACATATCAGATAACGCAAAAAGCAATCAACACTCTTATACTGAATGCGGCGGCACGTACTCCAACCCCGCGGGCTATTCAGCAGGACATTGTAATTTTTTCACAGGAAGTCTTTATTTTTCTCCATCTGACATTGAAGTTTACTTCGAAATAACAAACTAAACGTTAAAACTATGCTGTCTAAGTAAGTATCAAGTAAGTATCGTAACAATAGAGTTAATAGAGTTAGTGCCTCCTCACACGAGGCCCGGTCAACAGAACTTGCTCTGTATTCTCTCAGTGCTTGGTTGCTTATTTTCATAGTTAAAAATAGTGCTCTGATTGATGAAAAATTCATTGTTTATTGTACCGATAAAAACATAATTTTAGTTTCAAAAGCAACAGACTGCTTTTTCTATTCGTTTACAAGCGTAATAAACTACAAGACGTTGGTAGAAAATTCAAAACGTTCGTAGATTATGAGCAGTGAAAGAATGATTTACAAGCTTTTCTCTTGTTCTTCCAACATTCTGTGCGGTTTTTTAAGCCAATGAACCGATAGAAAGCGCGTTCTATTGTAAAAAGACAGTGCATTTTACTCGCGTCGCACGTACATTTTATTTTCGTGGCACGTGCATTTCATTTGCGTCGCACGTGCATTTCATTGGCGTCGCACGTATGACCAGGCTTACTAGTAGTACCTCTTTCCACCCAGGAGTAGAAATGGGTACCTGCAAAATGCGGGAGTCAAAGAAACGTGACAAAAGCTTTAGGGTTTACATATGCCTGCCAAATATTAGCATCAGGTAAGCGGTCAAGAGAGAAGTAGTAGAACCCCTTGTGCCGTCATATTATTTACTCCAGGACATTTTGCCACAAGTTGACTTTAACATAAGTTCAGAGTTGAAAAGAGTAGATATGAAATTGTTACCAGTTAAGTAATATGAATTTTTTTAAAACTTTCTTTAACTTAGATTATGTTATAGAGGCATCATTTTAATCATAAATCAATAATCTGTTAGTGTTAAAATATATATTGTTGTGGCTTGGGTGTTGCACCACGAGATGGCGAAAGTTTTGCTTCACAGAAGTTAAACACTCGCTGCCTGTGATACGTTCCTAGAAGAATTAACGAAAAGAGAAAATTGCTTCTCTCCATTGAAGACTACCACAGAGACATCAGTGCAATATGAAGAGTGATCATTGCCAATTTTCTCTTTCAAATTCTGTCGTAAAGAGCTAAAAATTTCCTTTCCTTCAGATCAGAACTGAAATTGATCCGGCAGAACAAAATTTGAGAATTAAGAACAGAAATTAGCAAGTCAAAACCCAAATTGATGAAAGCAAAGGAATTTAGTTGACGCTAAAAGCCAGTAATCAGATCCGCAATTGAACCAAGAGAACAAAATGTAAATTATGAGAACACTTCTCTTTTTTGGCTTCGCCACAAGCCAAAACTAATTTTTAGCTAGACTACCCGTTTTTGAATAATTTAATATGTCTGTAATCACCAGAATGCCAAATTTTATTCCTTAATCTTTGGGGAACAACCAACCTTTTTTTAAAACTAATGTGCCCTAAACTCTTTTCATGGGCAAAAAATTAAAGAAAACCCGGG